AATTAAATAAAACCAATCATCCAACTATTCAAATTGATATTATATATATTCCTATGTATAAAATAATCAAATAAAAGAGTTAAAAGAGCCAATAATTTCAATCTTAAAGTACTGTTGCATTTTAGGATCAGTTTTAATGGTCTTCTGAATAGAAAGATAATTGATTTAAAATATGAATCAAAATATCGTAACAATTAATAAATGAGTGTTCGTTCAATTTTAAATAAAAATATTTTTTAAATGTTTAAAATAAGCTCCTTTTAAAAAATTATTATGAAAAGATATATACTAATTAACCATTATAAAAAGAAATAAATCTATTTTACCTTAACAAATCTTTTTTTATATATGTTCATTTCAGCCTGCGATAGAAACTATCAGTATCGAGAACTACTACCTCAAAAGTCCTCAGACCAAGGATTTATCAACCTTTTTAGTATCTAAAGAATCATCATAATTCTTATATAGAATTTATTATTATATTTTTAATTAATATATATGTGGATTATGCTTAATCATAACCTCATGCTATTGTATCTTACACAAGAACTTTAGATATTGGACGAATGTTTAAATAAATGTATGAGCAATATCAAGTTAATGGGCTTTGGTGAAGGAATAAGCAGCTAAACAAATAAATAAATTTTTGAAGCGATGGCCTCTCAAAAAATTGTAAAAGTTAATTTTAAGGCTTTAATTAAGTTTATGCATACCCTCACTATTCTTGTGAGGTTTGAAATGAAGCCAAAATAATAAAGTGATTTTTCTAGAAATAATGATGTAAGCTTTCGATATTTATTTTGATTCTTATTTATACCCTTTAATAAAAGTCAAATTATTAACTGAATTTATGAGTTGAGGATCTAAAAAATATGGAATATTATCAATATGAACAGATTATTGAGGGAAGTTATTTTTCTTTGTTTGATTAATATTATTCGTTTTACTTAACCTATTAAATTTAGTTAAATTTCTACTTAACTTGATTTTATAATTCTTAAATGATAAGACCTCCAAAAAATTTACATTTAGAATATTTGATTAGTTCTCCATCTTTTAATAACTTCGAATTTCGATTAATAGGTTTAAAATGTTTCATCTATTCTTTACAAATCATTTCGTTCTTTTCCAAATCAAGTCTATTAAAAATTTTAAATACTTCGAAGTCTTTATAAACAATCTTAGAAGTCAATATTTGAATGACAATATTTCTATTTACTACAAGTTAAAATGTGGCGGTTTCTCTTTAAGGGTAACTGTCCTTTTGACCATGTGATACTCAGTAAAAAGAGATTAGGATGAAAGACAATCAAGTCTTTAAAGTCAATTAACGCAAAGAGGATATAGGTCAAAATAAACTTATATAGAGAGATGGACTGAACCCTATACAATTTTCTTTTTTCACCAAAGTAGTTAGACTATTGGTTGAACATAACTTTGTATCATATCCATAATTCATATTTTGAATGAAAATGAATAATCATAAATTAAATTCTATATTTTCATTAAAAAAATAACAAAATTATGAATGATAAAAAAAACTAAAATTATTATTTTCATCTTAGAAAGTAGATGATTTCCTTCAAAATGATAAATTAAATTTCATATCTAATTTCATGTCATAAATTTTAAAAATTACTAGCTGAAAAAACATAAGTAAATCCTAGATCTTATTCATATTGATGGCTGATATCTCCTGGATTCCAACAAGAACTAATCTTTAAGCTATCTATTAAAAAGGCTATAAGTTATTATTATGAATTTAGATTTTAATAATACACTCTCTTTAGTGGCTTAATAATATTCATCCAATAAATTATATCTTATGAAAAAATATTGAATCAGAATCACATTCAGTGTTATAATAATTCATTATTTCAAATGATTTGATATTATTTATTAAGTTACTTAGTTAATATCATCACTTTCACTTCCTTTTTCACTATTATCTCTACTAATCAATTTATTAAAATTAAAAGTAATTAATTCATCTTATCTTCCCCTAACATCTGTAGATGATTAAAATTTAGATTGTATATCTTTCAGATCACTAATTTTGTATTCATATTAGTAAGTCAAACTTACTCTTTTTAAAATAAATCTACTTTTGATAGTATTTCGGCTCTCTGGCAAGAATTATTTCCACCTTTTTTTTAATCATTCTCTTCTGAATCTGCACTTTATCAGAATCTTAATTGTTAAAATCATCAAATAAAATAATTTTAAAATAAATAAGTAACATATATATGTAATATCAAATGGTTAGCTATTGCGTGCTATGGTATCGACAATTCGGCCAAACCAATTTTTTTAAATATTAAAATTCATTTATATGATGAGGAGAATTTCTTTCCTTATCATATATTTAAAAGTATAAATTAAAAATTAAAGAAGGAAAATGCGTATTAATTTATTTTTTATTAAAAAATAATATTAATGAAAATTTTTTTATCTTTCCTTTTTTAATGATTATGATTTAATACATTTAAATAAAATGTAAAATAATAGTCTAAACTTGCCTAACTTTATTTGAGTATTGTATTTCGTTATAAAAGATAAGTTTATTCAACATGCAATTACATAAGCGCAGTATCTACAATATTAAGTTTATCTAATCCATAGCAAGAAATAGATGTTGAATTGGAAAGAGACTCTTAAGAGAATATTGGATATGGTTTATGGATGAAATATTAGCCTTTCATCCCAATTTCAAATATAAGTATCATATAATTAGCTATAGGTCTCATCAGGTAATTTAGAAATAGGTTCAGCATCATCAGGGTATTTCATATACTTACTATAGTATAAAGAAACAAAATTCAATTTGTTAGCTTTATTTATTTCTATTTCTGTTTAAACATAAACGATTACTCATAATGTATTTTATTCATTTAAATAAAAATCGATATTTTAGCATTTAATTTTCAACAATCCACTTATTTATTATCGAGTACAAATTAAGCATTTTTTGGATAAAGCTATTTATCAGGTACTACAAGTGTATTTGAATATCCCATATATTTAATAAAAGGATGGTTAAAATTATAACTGTTCGAGAAGTCCCCTCTTGATACTGTGATATTTAGAGCGACATTAAATCAAGACTACTAAGATGACAATAAGCTTGGAGATAAAGATATCTATCTGCTATATCATCAGAATACCATTCCAGAATGAAATGGATTTTTAATAACTACTTATTCATACTATTTTCCTACTCCAAACAGATAAGTAAGTTCTGATACGGATATCATAAGTGATTTAGGAGCATCATATTAGAAATTACTTCTTAAGTGGCATTATATTTAATATGAAATTGGAACAAATAAAAATCAAGGGCAACCAACTTTCAAGATATATTTCCCATCATTAATTGATAGGTTGAAAATTTTCTAATGGACCCATAAGATCAAACATTTTACAGGAACTAAAATGTTTTATTATGTTGGAGGCGATAAATAAAGTAAAAACTTTTTGAAAGGACATATTAGTGATATGTAATTTATCTCTTATTGCACAACTCCTATTATAACACTATCCCCTAACTGTCATTATTCATGTCTCACTTGTGATGGTCCGAATAGTAATAACTGTTTATCTTGTCCATTAAATAGTCAACGAATCTAATCTGTAACTTAAAAGATTTGTGCTTGCAAAAGGAGATATTTAGATATTGAAAATGAACCAATTTGCAAAACAGTGTAAAAAATCTTTCCATAAATGACGGAAGTGGAATTGGAGTTAAATTGTGATTCTCAAGGTTTTGATATTTGTACTAAAGAAAAAAGAGAAT